CTTGTTTGGAAGTCATGTACTGCTTTCATTGTTTTGTTTTGATTTGTTTTATTCTGCTATTTTGGTTGATTTTATTATGTCTGATGATATGGGCAGCTATTTTTAAGACAACAAGAAGCATTATGGTAGCTGTTGTTTTTGAAGTCCTGTATCACCTCACTGTTTTGTTTTGATTGGCTTTATTTGGTTTTATTTTGTTTGGTTCTATTCTCTTTAAAATAAAATTTTAAAAGTAAATAAATTAATACAGAGCTGCAAAAGATCTAGATGAGCAAAACAATTTTGTAAAATAATAGCAAATTTGGAAGACTAACACTACCTGATATGAAGGATTGCTATAAAACCATAGCAGTGGAGGTGATGTGATATTTAAGTCTATATAGGCAGATTAATGAAACAGAGAAGAGACCAGAAATATCACACATACACAGTTAACAAAGTGGCAAGGTAATTCAATGTGGAAAATGATTGCCTTTTCAATAAATTGCCTGACATAATTGGTTGTTCATATGCATAATATGAGCCTTGACTCTCCTCTCCAAGTTAACGTGAAGTAGATCATAGTGCTAAATGTAAAACTAAACTTATAAAACTTCAGGAAGAAAAGTACAAAATAAAAACATTTGTGACCTTTGGATTAAATAAGAACTTTTCAACTAGAACACAATAAAGAACATAAATCATACAAATAAACCTTGACAAATAGAGTTTAACAAAATTTAAAGCTTCTGCTTTTCAAAAGATATTGTTAAGAAAAATGTAATGATAAGGCACAGATTGATAAAAATAAGTGTAAAGCACATATCTGATAAAAATATATATTTGAGAAATACACTTAAAATCATTAGTAAATACAAGCTAAAACCACTAGGAAATACCTCCATGCACTAATGACAGTGGCTCAAACTAAAGAAAACTAAAATGTGAAGTATAGGACAATGGGAACTTTCATGCTTTTCCAATGGGCATGCAAAAATGGAACAATTTGCAGCTTTTTAAAATAGTTAAACATACACTTACCATATCAACCAGAAATTCTACTCTCCCATATTTATCCAAGACTTACTTATTCAAGTTATTTATCGTAGGCTATCCTAACCCTAACCCTAACCCTAACCCAGTGGCTATTGACTGTAAGTGTTTTAGCTATCATAGTACAGTCACAACAAAAGTGATACAGAGGATGGCTACTCATAGACGCAGCACTGTGGAAGAGTACTCAAAGTACTGTGCCAAGCAGGGGTGCAGAGACTTTGGGGTACGTGGTAGAGCGGTAAGCAACACCAACTGAGCCTCTCTGAGGAGATTCAGAATCCAGACACTGGAAAACATCTTATCTTGGGAAAGAAAAAAGAGGGAAGTAGATTCCTGGAAGGGAAAGATCTGTATGAAATTAAAACCTCCAGAAAGATTGAAGAGACAGAACACAAGCGGAGAAAGGAAGTGACAGCCTGAACTTTCTTCCTGGCTCCCAACTTGCAGCTCATGGGAAAGGGAGGCCAAGTCTAAGAGACAAAGCGAAAGCTGGGGACTCCAGAGGGCTTCCAGGAGAGATTTAGTGGCAGAATGGACCAGAGGATACTGTGAGCTGCAAGGAGAGCTCATGATTCTGTTTCCACGTGAACCCTTCAATAGGCCCAAGGCGCAGCCAGTGTTGGTAACACGCCCAGACTCCAGCATCACTATTGTAGATGTGACATGACATCCAGAGCTGACAGCCAGCTTACCTTCCATACTGTATCCTACATCCTTCACTGCCAAGATTGCAGTTCTTAAGAAGCAAGAGCTGGGCGGGCCAGGAGGAGAACAGAGCTCCAGAGATCCGGCCACGGAGGGACTCAGGCAGCTTATTCGCCCGCCCTCTTTGTTAGCACCTGCAGCTTGGGCCTGGAGAAGAACCACTACCTGTGAGCCTACTGCCACACGAGCTGAAAATCAAGCACCCTTCTCCCACCTGCCCCCTGCCCCCTGCCCCCTTAGCTACTGGGGATAGATGTTTCAACATCTCTTGGGAGGATGACCATATGCAGTATAGCAAATGTAGGGGATTTCCTTCTATCTTCTGTTTGAAGGCACAGGTTGTTTTCACTGTTTTGTTATGTTTCTTTTGCTCTATTCAGTATTCTCCATTGGTTTTACAATGTTCTACTTTTGGTTTGATTTTACAATACGTAATTGACTGGACAGCTATTGTTAAGTTAAAGAGATTATACCATAGTACTTACTACTATCCCGGTATCCTACTGTGAAATCCTGTACCAATTTCACTGCATTGTCTTGATTAGCTTTGTTCTGTCTTGCGCTGTTGCATCTTTACTACTTTCAAAATTAAAAAAAAATACATGTTAAGACTCATGCATGTGTAGAATCTATAAACAGTTTATGAGAACTGATCTTATGACAATTGATTAAATGAACAGATACTTTGAGGAAAAGGAGGCACTAAAATAGCCAGTGCTGATTCTGGAGTTTCATAATGTGAAACCCAGCAATAGTATTATTCTTTGTTCAGAGTGATATTAACCTGCTTGGGTTTATTCAAAGTCAACATAATTGAAGATATGGGTAACTGCATATATGTGTAAGTGTAGAGGATTGATAACCATACTTCTAAGTTTTTGTTGGATAGTTGAACAGAACTGGTTGCAGTCTCACTGTTTGAATCCCCACTTTATATGCTCCACTTTAGTATCTTGAATAACTATTTGTAAGAAGACAATCTGTAATCATCAACTAGTGATTTCTTACCGTTTATTTTTTCTTTTAAATTATGTATTATTTCTACCCGTTTTCTGTTTTTTTAGTCTTTCTTTAAATTCAGTTTTAAAAAGAAGACACTACAGTACTCAGTGCTGATCACAGAGGGTCATGATGTGAAATCCAGCAATACTATTATTCTTTGTTCAGAATAATTTTAACCTGCTTTAGTTTGTTTAATCTAAACATAAATGAAGATATGGATAACTGCATGTATGTTTAAATGCATAGGATTGACAACCATGCTACTAAGTTATTGTTGGAAAGTTGATTAGAACTTTTTGCAGTTTCTCTGTTTGAATTCCCACTTTACATGTTCCATTTTTGTACCTTGAACAACTATTTGTAAAACGACAACATCAACTGGTGATTTCTTACTGTTTTTTTTTTTCTCTGAACATATGTACTATTCCTACCTATTTTCTGTTTTGTTTAATCTTTCTTTAAATAAAAATTTAAAAAAAAGAAGCAAGAGCTGGTTCTCATCCTTGAATTGCTCTTGCTCAGTAAACGCAACATTGATTTGAACAGCTAACCAGATTTCAGGGTGCAGGATAGACCAGCTACACTTCAAATTGTTGATGTTTATACACAGTGAATGATCAAACTTTCTTTCCCTTTCATATTACAGTATTTAAATATATTTAAAATCTTACTAGCTATAAAAAAGGACAATCTTGAGGCTTTAATAGGTAAATGGAGGCAATTTAAGACCATAGTCATAAGTGAAATAAATCAAACTCACATTTATAAATATCATATTGTCTCTCTAGTATAAAAAATAAAAACCTGAAACAGGCTAGATAGTTTATAAAGAATAGTGATTTATTTAGCCCATGATTCTGGAGGCTGGTGAGCCTAAGAGTGTGACACCTGCTCCTGGTAAGGGCCTTCTTGCTTCATCAGAAAATGGTCAAGGGCAGTCCATGGTGAGGCAGAGCAAAAATGCTAGATAGATGTCCCTTCTCCTTCTTTCTTCCTCCTCTTCCTTGTCCTGTTTTTCTTCTTCTTCTCCTTTTTCTTCCCTCTTTTTCTGCCCTTCCTCTTTCCCCTCCTCCTCTTCCTCTTCTCCTTTCTCTTCTTTCTCTTCTCTTTCTTCTTTTTCTTCTTCTTCTTCTTCTTCTTCTTCTTCTTCTTCTTCTTCTTCTTCTTCTTCTTCTTCTCTCTTTTCCTCCTCCTCCTCCTCCTCTTTCTCTTCCTTTTCCTCCTCCTCCTCCTTCTCCTCCTCCCCCTCTTTCTTCTTCTGCTTCCTATTTGACCACTAATGCCATCATGGGGCGCCACTGTCATTACCCCATCACATACAATTACCTTCCAAAGGCTGAGTAATAAAGTACCATTAACATATAAATTCAGTGATTAAGTTTCAGTGAATGAACTGTTGGGATACACATTCAAACCACAGCAGGAACAATTAAAACAAGAGAATGAAGATCATTTTGTGGAAAATCAAGTAGCATTTTTAAGTTTGAGGAGCTAGAAGGTTGCTCACATAGACACAACAGTTAGCAGCCTAGCACTTCTCACAGGAGTCATCAGGACGGGATGAAGGAAGTAAACTTGAGGACTCGGCCTTGCTCTTCCTTCTGTCCAACATCTCACCACTACCACCACCTATCCTCAGGTTTGCAGGTGGGACCTGTTACATATTTTTTTAAACATTTCCTTCCTGCTTGTCTACCACTTGCAAACCTATAACCTCATAACCTCTATCTTCAGCGACTGCCTCCTTGTCTGCCAATCTCTGCTCCCCTTAAATCCATTCTTCACACTGTCTCCAGTTATCTGCTCCAAAGTGCTGGTATCTCCCTTAGCTGCTTACAGCCTACCACACACTTAGGTCCTACTTATTTTTAAGACTCATTATAAGCATTGCCTCCTCCAGAAGGGGATCCCCAACACCCCCAGCACAGTTAAGTGACCCCTGTGCACTTAGAGTACACACGTGCCCTGCCTGCACACACTGGCCAACAGTTACCTGTCTGTTATGCAGCATGTGAGCCTGGGTGCCTCTCCCAGCCTCTGGGAAGCACAGATGCTCAGGTCATCTTGGGAGGGAAGAAAAGAGAGAAAAATGGAGGAGAATCAGATATCAATCTTGAAAAGTGTCTATGTATATTGGGATACCACCAAGGATTCCCATACCCTACCTGAAGGTGTAGAACTGGGTGTTAAGTCAAGGGAACTTGGAGCTGACTAGTTGTTTGACTATGATCAGGCCACTTAACCTTTTTGGATCTCAATTTTCCCATCTAAACAGAAAGTTTGAACAAGGTGAACTCCTCCATCTCTATAACCTTGCTTCCAAGGCACCATAGTTCTCCAATCATAGGAGCTTTGGCCCCTTCTTTACTCCCAGGGACTCGACTTCTAGGATCTCCTCCATCTGCAATGGCTTGCCACCTTGCTCAGCCACCGAGTGCTCCTGCTGTGACCTGAAGGAATCCACAGCAGTATTGTGGACAGCACTGATTCTCACAGCCTTGCCCAAGGATTCTGCCAAACAGTTTTTGTTGCAAATTCAGCCTACTTGGCTTCCTTTCTGAGTTTAACCAAGGGTTTTCTGGGACCAGGCTTACATTCTCACAAACAGCTTAAGTCCAGATGGCCATGTCTTTGTATCTTCCTTATTGTCTTCTTTTAAAGCTCATTAAATTCCTCCTTCCACCCACTACTGCAGAGTTCACCAGGACTTGGAGAAGCGCAGTTCCTCCTCTTCACCTAATTGTGTAGCGACTTCCATGAATAAGGCGGGACTGATGGTCTCAGGGCAGGCAGCATGTCCTCAGGCCTTGTATCACATGTGGAGACAGGCAACAAAAGACGCAGTCTCTTTCCTCCCATTCCTTATTATCTAGCAAAAAACACAAGAAATAGCATCAAGAAGGATTGAGATTAGTTCCAGGCGGGCATGTGCCACCCCTAAATGAATTCCTTCACATCTCAATACAATAAGCTCCCCAAGGACAGAAACCTTGTCTTGATCACTCACTACTGGATTCTTCACACCTAATGCAGTGACTGTCACATAGTTGGCACTCAAGAAATACCTACTAAATAAATAAATGCATGTTGCATTCTTCACTGTGTCTCTAGCACCCAGCGCAGGACTTGACTCAGTAAATCCTTGACTAATTGATAGATAAGGGATGGATGGAGGAGAGCTTTGCAGGATAAATAGGAGTTACTCAGAAAGAGACTTTAAAAGAAAGAAGCAGGAGGTTCCAAAGGCAGAGAGGATAACATTCGTAAAGGCAGGCAAAAACCCAGAGCTTTCAGAGAACAGCAACTAGTTGGAAGTGGCCCAAAGTTTTATTTAAAATGAATTCAAATCAATGAGGTTTACAGAAAAGTGCCAGAAGACCACCCTGGGTTTTCGAATTTCTTTCTGCCACCAGTTTATTTGCTTTAGATTAACAAAGTCAAAGGCTCACATGTTTCCACTCTATTAATTTTCCCTTTTTTGTTTTCAAGAGATAGAAGCTTCTTTCAAACTAGCTCAAGAATGAGCAAATGATTCTATCAATGCTTCTATGTATGTAAGTATGTTTGTTCACTTACATTCACCTATCTATTGCTTCTCTGTCTACCAGTCTGCAGATGCTTCACAGTTGCAGTGGGATTATAGCCAAATAAATGCTTCATGCATTGAAAATATCATAAATCAAAATGAACTTAATACAATAGTTTACCATCACAGCTTAGCAACACACTACACTATAGTCTGCTGATTGTTTCGTTAATGAAAATGTGATCAATGATTGGATATCATGTGACTGATGGGAAGCTGTGGTCACTGCCCAGCACCATGATTTAGTATTGTGCCACATATCACTAACTCCGGAAAAGACCAAATTTCTCAAATTTGAAACCAATATGGTTTCTACTGAATGTGCATCACTTTTGCTCCATATTAAAGTAAAAGAATCTTTGTTAAATGATTCCTTGTAGGTCAGGACCATCTGTTTTTAATCTCTGATCTGAGTTTTTTTCTTTCTAGGGTATCCACATTCTCTCTCTCCTTCAAACAGCTATCTCTTTGAAATCACTGAAACAGGCTTACATGTTCCCAGCAGCTTTAAAAGCATCCAAATAACATTCGTATAAGCAGTCCTAAGAAGAGACTTTGACTGGTTCTGTGTAGATTCACACATTTACTCCAGAGCAATCCCTGAGACCACTGCACAGCCTGTGACTCCTGCCCACCCATGAGAGACTACAGCATGACTGACAGATCCAGGAAAAAGAAAGGAGTGCTCTCCCAAGAAACAGATGCAGAGCAAAATAAAACCGTACCTCCCACCTCATCAATCATGCCCATGTCTGGGGCAGCCATATCCACCGATCCCTTTCCTCAGAGGAGGAAGCCAACTTTGAATATGCATTTTTCTTGTTTTAGTGTAGCCTCCTCTCTGAGCCAGGTTTATTCATCTGTAAAGTGAGTTTGTTGAGCTAAATTCATCTTTAGAGGTCCCCTAGAAAGAAAGCATTCTGGTGTTCCTGAAATATGTACATTTCAACTCTGCCTAACTTACCTTTCAAAGTGGAAACCTCTATTTTCTTGATTAATTGTTTCATGAAGTATATTTGGATATTTTATTTTTGTTATTCTTAGTCATTTCAAAAACACCTGATCTTTGTTCAGCAAAAGAATCCCATCTCTTTCCCTAAGTGCATTTTTCAGCCTCATTCATGATTAGGATTATTTGAATTATCCTCTTTGGAAGAATATCCTCTTCTGAGATATTCAGGGGTGACGTTTTAGACCTATCCTCATTTTAACTCTTGGATCCCAAATTTTCGTTACCTTTGATTGCTCTTGGGAGCTGCAGGAGAAAGAATCTTTGTTCCCTGCAGTTATTTGTGGTCTACTTGATCTTAGTAGAAAATATTTCAGACTTGGGTCTCTGAACCTGAAACCATTGCTGTTTGATATTTATTGAGCATCATGCCAGACTTTTGAGATACAGGAAAGTCAAAATCACCGAGACATTAACCCTCCACAGAGGGAGGGACTCTGCCCCTGAATCCCCAACAAGTTCAGTGGGAGAAAAACAGGGACAAAAAACAAGACCCAGAGAAGGACACTGACATGCCCAACGTAAACAAATAAGTAATAAAATTTAAATTTAAAGTTCAAGTCTCCTGAATTTCAGCCTCTTTCCCCTATCTTCTGTCACACAAGTAACCTAATTTGGCACTTGACTTCTAGGGACCTCTCCGGTTTGCAGAGAAAGCCCTTTCCTTGACCAAGGCTGATCAGCTAATATTGACTTATTTCCCAGGGATCTTCAGACAGAGCCAAACTTTGATTGGGCCATGAAGGCTGCATCCCTCATAGCCTGACTCTGTCTGGGCCACACCTGCAGTCCTACACACCTGCAAACAACTGAATACTTGTCAGTCTTTCAGAACTGTGAGGATGTCACAGCAGATGCTGACACTGCCCACCATCCCGAGGCTAGAGAAATCTTTAGCTAGTGTGACTGGCAAGGTGCAATGCCAACTAGGTCCTGAGCCAACGGGTACCACCTGTGTGGTGCTTCCTAGCCCAATGTCTCCAGTAAGGGGTAGCCCAGCTTCTCCTTAAGCTCCTCTTCCTCTGCAGGGGAGCCCTGTTCCTCAAAGGCCACAGCTTTTTCTGGATGGGCTTTAAAGGTTACCATCTGACAGAAACCAAAACTTCTAACTTGAGCAGAACCATAATTGATCCCCTAAACTTTCCTCAAAAAGTCCATTACAAATTACAGTCAGCCAGCCATTCCTTAGTATGTCCTCTCACTCACAAAAATATTTATAGAAGTTTCACTATTTTCCTGGCAAATTAATGACAGTGTTATGCTTTTCTAGGATATTCATTTCCCCCATGCTTCAAGGTTGATAATAAAGGACTAAATATCCAGAAAACTCCTCCTAGATTTCTATGTTGTTTCAATTAATAGCACATAGAACATCCAGAAGTTTGCTATATCCCACATGCAAAACTTCCCGTGGTGAGCGGTGAGACCAGTGCTACCTCTGTTAGTGTCTGAAGTAGCCCCACAATCAGTTTCTTACTCTCCACACTCCCCAGACCTCACCCCGTCAGCCTGTCTGAGCCCATGCCTTCCACTGTGATCTCTCATCCCTCACAGCAGGAAGCATCACAGGTAACCTAGTAGTCTTTTTCCTGAGTACTTCAGCTTTCTGGATGTGAAAACCAGACCATCTTCCAAACAAAATACTGCGACCGCACTTTGCACCAGCACAGAAACACATGAATTTTTGCTGTTCGTAGGGTTCTTTCAGTCATTCATCCAGTGATTGTTGAGCACCTAATGTGTCAATTACTCTGCAGACTGTGGGAACAAGCATAGGCCAGGTGGCTGCAAGGGTGATCGGTGCTCTGATGGAAAGTTTGTGAGACAGGAGCACCTACACAGGCTTGGGAGGTTTCCTGGAGTAGGACAGTTGGCTTGAATAAAACTAGCTGTCTACACTCAAGGTCTGTGGCTTGCTCATCCTCAGAGTGTTTGCTCGGAGAAGTCCAGCATCCACCCATTTATATACCCTGCCCAAAGGGTCTTCTACTTCTTCTACTTCTACTCCTACATGCTTAATTCTGAATTATTTCTCCACATGTAGAACAAAATCTCCAACTAAATTAGCAGGGCAGGATCAGCAGTCCTTTTGTAAAGTCAGGTTTACACGGTAACTAGGAACTGGCCCCTAGGACATACTTTAAATGTCTGAATTAGGTATCGTGGCAGAGACCCTCCAAACTGCAGCCAGGTGATGGCTGCCCAGCTAATGATACCCTTTACCTCCCAGGCATAGGACACAGTCACCAGTCGTACTGAAACTGGGCGAGGCCACTTCCAAGTCTGGGACTTTGCAAGCCTGTGCTTTCTCTCCTACCCTGTTCCCTCTTGTACAGGCTGACTTGTAGACAAAGTGATGGGCCAGCCTTGAGCGGACCTTTCTTATTATGATTATTACATGCAAAGGAATTCAGTGTTTGGGTACCATAAGCAGTGTTACCACTGGCAGAGCAGTCCAGCCTTGTCCTAATAGAGCTGCCAGATATCCAGCCTCCACTGAAAATGGGAAGGCCTAGCATCTGCTACGCTCCGGGCCAACAGTCAGCAGATGTCAAGCTCCATCCAGTTTGCCACAGATCCTGTAGCTCCCCATGAGCCTGAGGATCCTGCCACAGTCCTCGCACTGTTGATTTTCAAAACTGCCTGAAGCTTATTTTAAGCATTTAAGTCTCGGAGCAGAACATAAATAGGGAGTCTAGTTACTGATAACACTCTCAGCTGGCTCTTCCTTTGGGAGTTTATGCCATTTCAGAACCTGTAATAGGGATCTTGATCCTGGTTCAGGGCACGGGTAGGACTCAAGGCCTCGCCTCTAAGAAATATTCTAGAATGTTCCCTTTATATCCTGAAATGGAATTAATTTCATCCACCTCCACAGACACAACTTTAAAAATCAGTATGATGATGTAATAAAAATAGCAAGAGAAATAAACATACCTTATCATGACATCACATATGTTTGCAGATGCAAAGATTTGGCATGATGACAATAGAAGCTAGGATGAAAAGTCAAACAGTTGCATGCAGAAACAGAAGCTCTTCAAATAAGACAGCCATAAATGCAAACAGGCACAAGCCTCTCTCTCTCTCTCTCTCTCTCTCTCTCTCTCTCTCTCTCTCTCTCTGTGTGTGTGTGTGTGTGTGTGAGAGAGAGAGAGAGAGAGAGAGAGAGAGAGAGAGAGAGAGAGATTGTGGTAACTCCATTACACAGTAGATTGTCAGCAGGAATGTGTTTTATACAAAAGACATAAAACTCTTGGTAAAGTCTGAAACAACACAAAACCCAGTTTTTCCTTGATTCTAACTTTAGTCCTAGAAAACTTGATGCATTTAAAATCATGGAGCAAATACTCTGTATTAGTGTGTAATGTGGAACTCAATTTTAGGCTCTGAGCAACCTAAACATGTTCGATATTCAAGAATCCACAGTGAGTCACAAGGGACAGCGCAGCTCTTCAGCGAGGGACAGAACCTCACAGACAGTCTAGCAGTCTGCCTTTTCCACTAAACATTGAGACCATCCCAACCCAACCACCAAGACAACCCAATACCCACATGTTTCCAAAGTTCCCCTTTAGCCAGGTGATTTTCAGTAAGAATTTCTGCCCCAAAATAAACAGGCACTCAGAGAGGTGAAAGGGATATTGATCACTCAAGTGTTTCTTCATAACATGATGAAGATCAGACGATGCCTCAGTATGATTTCTTGAAACTATAAACTTGTTAGACTTTCTTTCAGCAAAGGAATCACAAATGATTTTTAAAAGACAGTAGTGAGTGTCCAGGGGGAACAGCTTTGTTTCACCCTTGGGCTCTGGGAGGGAGCAGAGTGTCCATGGCTGCTCCCCAGCTGGGCTCCACGTAATCTCCCCAACACCAATATAATCCCACAGAAAAACTTTACCTATAGATTTCTGTTTTTAAAAGAAAGAATAAATAAAGGGAGAGGCTGAAACTAAATGAGATTCAGTTCTCCTGTCTCTCTCATCTCCTGCCTATTAATAGCCCCTTTGATGAGTCACATCGAGACATTTCTTCACTGTCTCTGAGCATGCTTTTACCTAAAATAGTTTTTGAGTCATTTTTCTTTGCTGCTGTGACATTGGGGCAGCCAACACAGGCACTTATCTTGAAGAAATATGCACATACATCAGGGTTCACTGGGACTACATGGACTAGGCTCAGAATCAAAATATCATTCAGCCCTCACAAAGCTGGAAACCAGAGGTGCCACGACCTCTTCATCCTCTGAACCCCTCCCCAGAGACCAGCTTCCTGGGGGCTCATGGGAGAAATACCTCCTTTTCTCTACAGGCACCGCTATTGTGCATACTCTGACATGGTTCCCTTAGTAGCTTTTCTGCTACTGCCTCAGTCCTATGTATTTATTTGTTTATTTATTTTTTAGAGACAGGGTCTCATTAGACCACTAAGTGGCCTAGGCTGGCCTTGAACTTGTTGTCCTTCTGTCTCTGCCTCCCAAAGTGCTGGGGTCACAGGCACATGTCACCACATCCAGCTTCCTTTAATGGCACTTTGATAAAACACCGTTTTAATTCCACTTAAGTATAAGGAAGGGACAGAAACAGAAAGATATTTGTTTCTCCTTCCAGGACCCAGTGCCGGGGGCTTCCCCTCCTTGTCCCTCAGATCTGAATCCCTCTCTCTGAGCACCTCACTTTCCTCACATCATGCTGCCCTCACCTCATTTCCTCCTCTGTCCCAAGTCATTTTTAACTGTCAGACTGGGAAGGATCTGGCCTGACAGGACAATTAAATATTAATACCTTGATTGAAGAGTCTTGTGCAAATCAATTAAAAATGGGCCATGTGGGGCTGAAGCATTTTTAAACTATTTTTTCTTTCTGTCAGGAAAGATCTTGCTGCAGAGCCTGGGCCCCACTCCCCTGGGGCTGGGGTTGACTCAGGAAGGTATGGAGGGGCTGAGTAGCTGGTCGCCATCCTCCTAAGACAGGGCCAGGTGCAGGGACTGATGGGTCCTTTGTCCTACCGTGAGGATGGACAGGAAGGGCCTCTATCAAAATCTTCCCAGGTTGAGCTGCTGCTCCCATTCGGCTCTATACTGTGCGACTTTGCACTTGATGTAGGAATGATTTAGTTTCTTAATTGTATTGTATCAAGGCATGGGAGGGAACACACCCAGGGCAAGATCTTCCTACATAGGTCCCCGCTCAATGCCTGGAACTTGGTAGGCGCTTAGCAAATGTTTGTGCCCATGGCAATAAAATCTGCCCCTCCTTACAACTTCCTTGCTTCCAATGGCAAGTCTGTTGAGTGACAACTAAAAATGTCATTCTTCCCTCCCAAGTATAATTGAGGTAGCACAGGGACAAATATATAACATACATGAGAAGACCTACAACAAATGGTAATTTATTTTCTAATTCACTTTTATAAGAGGCAGAATGGCCAGCTACACCCAGACCCTGAGTAAAACTGTTGACCTACCTTTGGTGGATGCAGAATTTGGCTGAGTTCACTAGAAATGCATGAACTAAAAGGCAGACATTGTAACCTGTATGGTTCTTATTGTCTCACCAAAAAGAACACATGTTGAGCTCTCACCACATTGGGTCAAAGGATGTTTTTGAAGCTCAGATAAGGAACCTTGCCTAATTTAAACCTATCGTGGCAAAACAATTTTTAAGATGCATCAGTAAGAGGTTGAAAAAGGGCTTATTAGACAGAGGTATGGTGCACACTCAAAAACATGGAGTGTAAGTCCTCAAGAGAGAGATATTTTTAGTTTATTTCCTGAACAGGGAACTTGTATGCTTCTCTTGAAGGGATAGGAATCCCAGGAAGACCTGGCCCACCTCCTAGAAGGATAAAGACTCATATTACAGGTGTGACCTGAGCCTTTTTTCCCAGATGGATACTTTGGATTCTCTCAATCTGTTCCTTTATCTGAGGATCAGATTCCCACTCCTCACTTTCTCAATTTAGTTGATTTATGGACTTCCACTATTCCTGAAGAATTTGTGGTATGATGGGTCTAGAATTTAAGCAAGGGAATGTTGATGGGGGTTGCCTTGGGTAACTTCACCTGAGAACCAGAAGTTAAGTCTTCTTAAAAGTACTGTAAGAGCAAATGGTCCCCCAACCAGTATACTTCAGTGTCTTAGTTGCCCAGGTAATAAATAGTTCCTGTTCCAGTTCCTGTTGCTTCTGTCTCTTAGAAATGGCTGGTCACTGTGATGCATATTGTAAGAACCGATTCCTAACTGACAAGCCATTCTGCCCTATACGTCCTGCTTTCTTACCTCATAGAAGCCCTAGAACACCAGAGATCAGGACCTAATATTTTGGGAATGATCCTGATTAGTGCCCATCAACCTAAATAAATCTGCCTCCAAATGCCAGGTGTCATTTCAGTGTTTCTGATCGCCTTTGCAGTACAACTCTTAATTGTGATTTCCTGTCTTTTTTTCTTATGTTTTATTTCTTCCACCCAACCTCAGATCTCCTGAGAGAGTTCCTCTAGAACTCCATAAATCAAGAGTCATTTGTTATGTGACTCCTTACATAGAAGTGTCTGTGTAAGTGCCCAAGGTCCCTTTGCTGCTCTTCTCACAAGTTGCTCTCATCCTGACCTGTCCATTTCCTGGAATCTGCCCAGGAGACTCGGCCTTTCTGCTCAGAGTCCCCTCTGAGAGCCATTCTGCCCCTGTGCACCCACCATACAAACTCCCAGCAGCCCTATCCTTTAGATACTTTCCTTTACTTCTCTCCACTGATTTACTTCCTCTCCCTCCCCTCACTATTTTGTTCCTTGCTCTTTCTGTTGGCCATCTTCCTTACTAGATCATGAAATTCAGGAGGGCAGGGGTTTGGTCCTTTATGCTCATTGAGGCCCTAGATTAACACTTGATATCTAGCAGGCATTAAATATCTATTAGCCAAATTTTGAGTCAAAGACATCATTTCAACCATGATTTTTGGGAATCACAAAAATGCTGCTTTAAAGGGAGACTACTGTGCTCCCAAGACTTTCCAAGGAGTGCAGTTTTACACAGGAGCAGAACACAGGGGCTTATAAATTTTAAAAGGTATGACTGACATCTGCCTCAAACATCAAGGCCCTAAGTGAGCTTTGGCAAGCCTTCAGTCACTCAGGTCTTAATTGGACTTCCCCGCAGTACTCAAAGTACAGTTCTTCAGGACTGTTTGAGGGAAGAGCATTTAGCTAAGCTATCATGTAATGGGACAAGGTTCCACTCACCTCCAGATGTTTAAGAGTGGGCTTATAGTTTCATCCATTAAAAAAGTCAGCCAACTTCAGCAGGAACAGGGAAGCAGAGTGGCTATAGGCAGAGCCAGGGATTCAGTAAAAGAGAGATCTGAACACTGTCAAAGTCCAAGAGCAAAGCCCTCGAATGCTCTATTATCTGAGTTAGTTCTCTGTTGCTGCATAACAAATTACTCCCAAGCAGCTTAAAATGACAGACATTTATTGTCTCACAGTTCCTGTGGGTGAGGAATTTAAGAGCAGCTCAGCTTGATGCCCTGTCTCAAAGTGTCTGATAAGGTTGTAGCCCTAACACCAGCCAGGGCTGCTTGAGGAAGCTGGAGAGATTCCAAGGTGGCTCATTCCAAGGGCTGATGATGGGTCCTCACTGATTACCTTCTCTCCCCAAGGCCACCTGAAGGTCTTTTTGACATGACAGCCACATCCCCCAAAACAAGTAGGTGAGATAAGAGAGGGCTAGCCTTGAAAATCACATTGTCATTTCCTCTGTGTTCTATTTGTTGAAAGTGAGTTGCCAAATTCAGACAATACTCAAAGAATTAAACTCCACCTCTGAAAAGCAAAATCAAAGAATCCGCAGATATATCTTAAAATCACCCAGAAGCTGATGTAGAGAGAGTGTCCTTAGCAACCAGTGTAAGAGAAGACAATGGACTGAAGAATTCAGTGTCCCAGAACTCACGTCTCCAACCCATCCCCTACCAGCTGGATAAACTTAAAGACCTTTGCCATCTCTGGGCTAGTTTTCTCTTGTCTTAAAAATGAAGATAATATCATTCACTTTTCTAAGCATCATGAGAACTAGAG